AATCTTCAAAACAATTTAATATTTATATATTTTTAGCTCAAATTCAACAAAATAACATTTGAAAATAATGAATAATGAAATAATTATTAAGGTTTAATAAAATGAAAGAATTACAATATTACTTTAAAATAACAAACACGAAATAAAAAAAATAAGAATCTGTATAAAAATAAAAAGTATGTAAAACAATTACAGTAGGGAAAATGAACCTAAGCCCAGGAAATGCACTTTAGCACAAAGAAATTCCTATATATTTCTTTAAAAACACAGGTTTTTACTAATAAAACAAATATTTATAGAAAATTGATTTTTATTTAGGTATAATTTATTATTTTAATATAACAATAGAAAATAATTAGTTTTTTCTTGGGCTGAGGTTAATTTGCTGGGCGAAGGTTTAATGGCCCAACTGTATTTTTTATTTAAAAAATAATCGATTGATATTTACTTTGAATATAATAATTATAAAATAATAGTTATGTAAACTATAATAAAATATCCAAACTGTATTATTTTACTGTTTAAAATACAACATTTTAATCATTTAAATTGGGGTGTCCCAAAATAAACCATTGAGCCTAAAACTGCAAAATTTTACATGAAAAAAATTGTTTTTTATTTTTTAAACATAGTTCGAAAATTTTAAAAACATGACCAAAAAAAATGTTTACACGTCAGAATACTTTTTTATTGCCGAAAGGGTTAAATTATTTGGTAAAAAAACAGCCTCTTTCAATCTAAATTAATAGGAATTGATAGTAATAATTACCCTAATCGCAAAACATTATAACCAATATCAAACCTTTTTTACTTTGAAAATCGGGATTATTTTTAAATTATAATATATCATTTTTCTTTGCATAAACAGGATAATTTGAATAATTATTAAAATAATCTCGTGTTAAAAAAACTAATAAACCGGGCGATTTTTTAAAGAAACAAAACATCATTGATCGTTGTAGAAGATTCTTTTTTAAATCTATAAAAACATTGAAACAGGGTCTATCACGTGACAAAAGTGTTA